AGGAAGTGAGCAGTGGTTCAAATAAATCCGCTCGTGCCACAGGGTGGAACGGGCCTCCAATTCAAAATTTTTCACAGATGGTGTCAGAGAGCTCGCAAAGCTGTTCCGCTTTTGCGAAATTGTAGTCTCCGATAATGACAAGTAAACTATACTCACCTCCGAATCCGCCTCGGCCCCACCAAGGTCGTGGACCTAAAGTAACAGTGATCATTGAGGAATGAACAAGACTCTATAGAAATTTCCAACCAGCCTACGAACTCACCTCTCCATCCTCCCCATCCTCCTGGACCTCCTGAACCTCTCCAACCTCTCGACCCTCCTGGACCTCCCCAGCCTCCCGGTCCTTCCCTGTGGTGGTGATGGCGGTGACGTTCGCCTGAAGTGTTGATATTAAACGTGGCGTGATGATGATTTGATGTGTAGTGTTGTGAGAGTGGTAGTCAAAGTGCTTGCGAATTAAGAGAGCCATCAGTCCACGGTGTGTACAAACCTGATTCATCATTACTTCCTCCTCGGTCGCCACCTCCCCGACCTCCAAAACCGCCACCTGAAAGAAGTTAGGTATTGTGGCGATCGCAAAACAAAAGAATGTGCCTACCTCTTCCATCGCCTGATCCTCCAAAACCACCTTGTCCTCCTTGTTCGCCTCCCCAGCCGCCTTGTCCACCTCCTGAGCCTCCTCGACCTCCCAATCCTCCTGAGCCACCGGAGCCTTAAAAACATTTCAGGTTCACCTTGTAACTTGTTTCCAAATGTTGCTCAGAACCTATCAGAGTAAATAGCAAAAAGTTAGCGTCTTATTGTTAGCGGGATTAAACCACACTTGGAAGAAAAAGGAACAACACAAGGAAGGAATTTCGCAAGCCGAAGATGTAGAAGAAAAGTTGCAGAAGAGGTTCTTCAGGGTAGGTTTTTGAGAAGCGAACGCTGTCCCAAATGAAATCCGATGCCTCTTGTGGACATGACCAATGAATTCTAGAACTAACAGAAAATAAGAAGTAGACAGAAAGATGTTATCACAAGAATGCTGAGTGGGCAAAAGTTGTGCCCCAGGCGGGCACGACTTTTGCCCACAACTTCAGCATTTGATAGGCGACGGGCATAAATAACCGCTTACGGAAGAGGTCAAGCGCCGCCCTAGTTGGTCGTAACGCGATAGCCCTTGCATCTGCGCACCGGAATAGCGTGAGGTGCGGTGTTTCGAACTCCCGCCTGGGGCAGCGACTTTGCCCACAACTCAGCTATTTCTGTGTGATAACATTTCGAAACGCCACTGTGTCGTTGAAACAGCCAGTTATCTAGACAAAACAGCTTCAAAAACATCTAAAGCCTTAGGCCTCGCGGTTTCATGCCGATATCCCATCGATTACGGCTGACCGGCTCACCAAGTTAAACGTGTGAGTGCGATGAAATGGCGACGGCGATAATAAACCGCTAATTGTAAGCTGGAGGGTCAAAGCGCCCTGTGCGTAAATCGGATGAGCGGCACTCGCCCGAAAAGCGTGCAGGTGCGGGTTCCGACTCCCGCCTGGATTCGACTTTTGCCCACAACTCAGCATCCTTGTGATAACATTCGGAACGCGCACTGCGGCGTTAAAAGCAGTTATCATAACAAGACAGAAAGATAGATCACTTCGATCCATAGACTATTCTAGTATTATTCTAGATAGTAAGGTGTGTGAAATGAGATCAGATATTAGGCGTAATGTGGTAGAATGTGGCACAAAGTGAGTTCCGCTGTAGTCATATAGATTACACTATTTTGAGAAAATCTTGCTTGTGGGCCTCACAAAGTTTTAAGGCATCTCTTTGAAGCAGCTTTTGATAGGATGTTAGGTATAGTTTTTACGCTGCTCGATGACCAAACCAGTTTATGCACTGAATTTCAAGCTACATGTCCCTCAAAGGGAACGCCATAGTTGGGGATTCCGAATCATGACTGTATGCGTGTGCAAATTGTGTCCCATAAAGACACTGTAGCTGGTAATGCCGTGCTTCTGAACCTCGCCGTCATGTCCTCGTGTTGTGAATCGCCAGCGATGGAGTGTACGTGGTCGCTAGAGGGTATGATGTATAGTATAGTTCACTGCGGACGGTTGGGCGTGTCAGGCGGGATGAGTTTGGCGCGGTGCCAAACCGTTCTCCACCAGTTGTTAAAGCGAGCAAGTGATATGACTGTATCATATCGTTCGTATTACTCGTTTTCTACCACTTTTTGTCGCATGCGCGCTTCAACAAGAAGGCAGAGAACGGCTTTGACGGGGTGACACACTCATACTGACACGCCCAACCGTCCGCAGCGAACTAGTGTATATTGTACTTGCTATTTTGCAAAATGTTTTCGCTTGTCGAATTTTCTCGGGTTCTCCCGTTTAACTTTCACTATATATTCCCTCAACTAGGTCCGCTCGACAACAGTTTTTGGGGAAATTCCGGAATATTCCGGAAAA